AAGGGGAGGATGGGGAGCAGGAGAGAGAGGGAACGAAAAACGCGATAGGCGGAAGAACAGAAATACAGATAATTTTAAAAAACTTCTGGGGAGCAGGACAGAGGGATCGAGCAAGAGAAAAAAAAAAATCAACAGGGAGAAGGATGGGTGACACCCAGCAGGACAGCGGGGGAGTGAGAGGGAGGGGACACAGAGCAGAACAGAAGGATGAAGAGAAGGAAAAAAGATACGGACAGGACAAAAAGCAGAGGAACCAAGAGAGGAAGAAGAACCAGAAAGGGAACTGGACAGAGATGAGCAGCGGACAGAGAGATGGAGAAAGAAAAAACAGGGACAGAGGGGAAGAGAGGGACGGGGACCAGGACAGTGGGATATACAGAGGGAGGGACAGGGAGCGGGACACGGGATTGCAAGAGGGGCGGCGGGTGAGAGAGCTGGAGAAAGAAAAAGTCCTTGCTGGGGAGCAGGACAGGAGGACAGAGACAAAAGAGACGATGCAGAGAGCAAAGATAACGCTAGGCAAGAGGACAGAGGGACTGACGGAGAAGTAAAGGGACAAGGAACAGGAGAGAGGGACCGGGGACGGGGGGAGGGAGGGGCAGATGCAGATTAAAACAGAGAGATGGAGAAAGGGGGGGGAGCAGCGACAGGCTGCTGGACAGAGACAGAGGAAGAAAAAGCAGGGCCAGCTGCTTTCTCTCGGACAACTCTCCCTCGGGTGCCTAATTCTCACTTAATTTACCATTTACAAGCTTTATTGTAATTTATTGTGTAGTCCCAAGTGAGAGTCAATGCCTGTAACAACTTCTGTTTTAATTCCCCCCCCCCCCCGCCCACTTTTCCCTCGCGGCTGCGTTAAAGACGCCCGCCGAGCTTTGCGCTTTCCGTTGCTCTTGGCCCGTTACCGACTCCAAGTAAGTTTTCCAATACCATTCTTTTCATTTCAATCCCACAACGTACTTGTACTGCAACGATAAAAAAGTACTTACCGCCTAGTTGATCAAATAATTGCTACTGTTACATTTATTCACTTTTTTACCCATTATTTTTATACCTACATTTAAAGCCTAAAAATTCAGCATTACCTTAATAGGAATTGCAGCTATTTAGTGCCCCCGATTCTCTACCTGCTAGCTACAGTCTTTTCCACAGTTCTCACTCCCATTAGGTATTTGGTCTATCACTTTACGTGTGTTAAGTTTTCCTCTTCGGGGCAACATCATCTCCAAAACTCGTATTCCCAGGCAGAAAGAGAGCAAGCTCCGCTCATCTCGATGGGCCCCTGACTTCCACACCTGCGCACAGAAAATAAAAATGGAAAGATATCATTACATCAGAAACTACAGTGCCCATCAAAAGAATTTGCAATCCTACCCATCCAAAATACGGTTAAGGCCCACCCCGCTCCGCAACCCCGTCCACCTCCCCGCACCCTTCAGCTGCAAGATCCGCAACCGTCTTCCCGTGACCGTCTGCTAAACGCACCACCCTGCAACGACAGGCAAGTGCCACGTGCCAGGGGAGCGCTCCCCAGGAACGCCACTCCCAGGGGCCTGAAAACCACCCCGCCTGTGAAAAAACCCCGGCCCGGGCCCGACTCCTGTCCAAACGCTGGCGATGAACATCACCTCGCAGAGCGGCTGGGACCGGGGAGGGGAAAAAAGATAACCAAAACCCTAGGGGAATCCCCCTAGCTGTTTTAGGTTTGGGGTTTTTTTTAAATTATAGTTTAAAAAAAAATCTACTATCTCAACATTAAATACAACCTGAAATCAAAATTCACACGTACAAGGCGAGACGCATCCAGGAACTAACGCTCATTCAACATCTGCTCATTCCACCCCTCGCTCAGAACATTCTAATTTCACCACCCACCTGCCACGCTGGCAGACGGCCCCGGTTCTAGAGCCATCCCTGGAACCGCCTCGCCGGCGCCTCAGAACAACGTCGCCGCTCCATCCAATTCCGAAGCACCGGCCTCCATAAACCAGAAGCCGAGGAAGACGCTTCGCTACACGCGCCACTCCCGCTCCTTCTTTGCTTCGATTTGTACGCTCTGGCACAACTCGATGGAGGATTTTCTCTGGGGATCCGAATCACCCTGTGGCACCCGCCAAACGCAACGGAAGGGACTCTGCACCCTGTTTCCCAGTAGCTACCGGGTATCCAAAGAAACAGCCCACACCACCTGCACCCAAACAGATTACCGCCCCACACTCAGACTGTTCCACCCCGACCAGAATTGCTACGCACACAGGCGGAGCAGCTCCACCTCAGACACGTGCGCACACTCCACAAACGCGACCTAAGGACGCAGGAACGCCACGCGGGGTAGAGTTAAATGCCAGACCAAGAGAGACAGCCTGACGAGCAAGCACGACGATGCTGAGGCCGCGTGGCGTGGACGCTCCAGCTTGGCCTGCCGTGCGAGAAGACCACGGCTCTGGATGAAAGATAGGCGATGAAGCCACTACGACCGACAGAGACAAAACGCCAGGAAAGACTTGAGACTATGACGACACAGGGAAGAAACCCCTGGAACAACTCTCAAGAAAGAGTCACCGAGGCAAGACCCGACGGCGAAGCCTGAGCGAAAACCAAAGCAAAAGGCACATACTGAGATGCTGCCCGAAACCGCAGCCTGCCCGCAGCGATTTCCGTCTCCCGCTCCTTTGCCTTGGCCGCTCGCCCGTCCGGCCTCCGTCGTTTTGGGCTGCCACATTGAGGCTTGCGCACCGCCTGTAAAACACAAACAACAAGGGATGCTCGTAACTTCACCAACAATACGACACCTGAAAAAATAACAGCTACTTCAGCCCACTAGTCATTGCTCACCTTGCCCGAGTCACCTCCGGTGCCAATATATCCTGCTTTGCTCGTCACGTCGCACCTTCAAAATAAAATAAAAAATAATAATAATAAAAAAACCTCACAGCAAACCATACCGCAGTCATATAGCCACCGGTCGCATCTTCCCTCCGACACCAGGCGCCGACCCACCTTCTTACGGTGCTCCGCTCGCCTCCTCCGTCGCTCTTTGCGGTGCATCTTGTCCCTCCACAGCTGAAAAGAAAAAAGTTATTAAACAAGTCACCCAGATGCTGATCAATAGCTTAACAAGTCCAGAGGTCTTGTTTCCATTTAGGAATACCATCTAGAGCCCAACTACAGCCTGCCATTAAAAAAAAAAAGTAAAAAAACCCAGACCAAACATTAACCCGCGCTCACACAAACCCTAAACACCTTGAAGATTCAACCTGCTTCGCTACCGCTGAACAGCCCCTCCCAGAAGGCTCCGGTCGTCTCCACGAAACGCTGCTGAAAGGACTGTCCGCACAGCCTGGCAACGGCTACTCCGTCTGAGATGACACTACAACCTTTGCCTCAACAGTCTGGGCATATCAACACGTTAACCACAGGCTCTTACCGC